AATATCCATGAATGATAAGGGCAAGAGGAAATTGAAATGAGAATGAGGAATTATTTTTTTGATAAGATGTTTGAAAAAGTAAATGTGAGTTGTGATTAAATGATGGAAATGGTAATGGATCGGTTGATGAAATTTGTGAGTTAATACCAAAACTATTAATGTTAAGCAGCTGAAAAGGAAAATATGTGATAGTAGAGTCTTGAGAACCTTATTATCATAATTAGAATTGCATGACGTTGATTGACATTTGCATTACATGCATTGCATTTATAATAGTCATTTGATAAACAAGAATTTTGATTTTGGATTTTAAAATTCAACTTAGTAAAAATTGAGAAATTTTATGAGAAGATGTTGATCCTCAGATGAAGAAAATTTCCAAGATAAGATTTTGTCCCTCAGATGAAAATTTTTGTTAAGTTGGGATTTTGATTCTTGATTAAAAGAATTTTTTTTTTGTTTAAAAAGATATTTTGAAAAGATTCTAAAGTTCTTAATCCTTTATTTAGAGAAGCTTTTTCTGTTATGAAGTTTTTTTTTATTTGAATCTTTTTTAAATGCGAATCTTTGAATTTTAAATATAAATCTCTAAATTTTTTGAATGAAAATCTCTAAATTTTAAATGTGAATATTTGAATTTTTAAAATGTGAATCTTTGAAATTTGAAAATGTGAATCTTAAATTTTTTTTTTTCAAATGTAAACCTTTAAATTTTAGATGGAATTTTTTTTAAAAAATTTGAATATAAATATTTGACTTTTGGATTTGAATCTCTAAGATTTGTAAAAAATAAACTTTGATATTTCATTTGTGAACATTTGAAATTATTTATAAATCTTTATGGTTGTGAATTTTCAACTCTTATGAATTTTTAAATCTACAAATCTTTGAGTTTTTATGAATATTTGAATTCTTGCGAATTTGTAAGATCTTACAAATCTTTATGATTATGAATCTTTGAACTATTGTGAATATTTAAATCTCGCAAATCTTAGAATTTTTGTGAATCATTGAATTCTTGAGAATATTTGAATTCTTGCGAATCTTTGAAATCTTATGAATATTTGAATTCTTGTGAATTTTTGAGTTTTTGCAAATCATTGAATTCTTGTGAACCTTTGGATTTTTATGAATCTTAAAAACTTTTGTGAATATTAAAAATTTTTGCAAATCTTCAAACTTTTACAAACCATGAAAATTTTGTAAACCTCTAAACTTTAGATGCGAACCATGAAATTATTGTTTTGAATTTTTTAAATTCAAATTGTGAACTTTTGAATTCCAAAATGCAAAATTTTGAAGTTCAATTGCAAATTTTTTATTTTCAAATTGTGAATCCTTAATTTTTAGCATAATGAAATTTTGAAAGTTTCAAATTCTGAATCTTTATTTCAAATGATAATTTTTTAATTTTTATCAAAATTGGATGTAATAGGTATTTATGTCTTTAGATAGTTTTCTGTTTTACATAAAATATGCAAAAAGGGTAATTGTAGATATCTTATTTTGTCTGGTGCCTAAATCAATTGGGCTCGGTATAATTCAAGCCCAAATGTTATTTTTATTCTTTATTTTATTTCATCCTTATTTTTATTTTAATCTTTGTCATTATATTTATCATTATATTTATTTATCTTATTTATTTTTTATTATATCTATTTTTATTTTATTTTATTTCTCAATCATCTTATTCATCTTTTTAACCTATTATTATTATTATTATTATTATTATTATTATTATTAGAAAAAGATAATAAAAAAAGTAAAAATAAAAAAAAGAAGGTTCGACTAATGTTAAATGTCATTATTATTATTATTAGTGATAACTCAAATTGGATTTAGGTTAGGATAATTGAAGATAATTTCTAGTTTTAGGATTAACATAGGAAGTTTTTTATAATGAAGGTTTTTTTAGAGATTTAATCTTTAAGGATCCTATTGTGATCAAGACTCTTTCCCTATAAATAGTCAAGCAATTCAATAGAAACGAAAGATGAAGGAGATACACAAGAATCATAGAAGGGAATTTGAGAATAGAAAAATTTTAGGCAATGGAGTTTAAGCTTGGGAGGCCTTGCTTAGTGTTTGGATTCTAGGTTTGAAAGGTTTTAAGCATGATTTTAGAGAAAATTCATAAATAAACAGGCTTAGGAGATCAAATTTGGAAATTTTCTAGATTTTATTGAATTTTTTGATGAGTTTGCAATTTTTAGCGAAATTTTTTGAAGTAATTTAAATTCTCGGTATGTTATTGATGTGCTCTTTAGGTTTTCAACAACTTTTTTAGATTTCGATAATGAATACGACATAGTTTGAATTTTCCAATGAGATTTCCCAGTTTTTTGTGATAGGTTACAGGCGCTGGCGCCGGTGTTTTTATGTTTTTTGAACCTTAGAGATAAATGGGAGAAAACTAATCTAGAAAGAAGGGGAAAGGAAGAAAAAAAAATTGTCTTTTAGGCAATGAAGAAATGGCACCATCTTAAACTTTAAAAATCCTCGTACGAACCCATGGGTGACTCGACCCATGATACCATGACTCAAAAGCTTGGAGATCCTTCCTTAATTGAGCCATAAAGCAAGTTGCTAGTGTCACGGACCTAAAGAGGAGTCCTAAATTCTACATTGGATATAAAAAGGTCACTAAGGTATATAAGTGTTCACACTATCTCTATCTTATGAGACGCCTTTGTAGGATAAAATCGTGAGACTAGGGGGACTAGAACGGATAATACCTTACAAGGATATGAACTATGAAAGTAGACTGATCTGGGATACCGAATGAGTAGATGCTCGGGTCTTGGAGTTATGTGGGTCGAAGCTTAAGTCTCGGCCAGTGACAAGTGGTATCAGAGTTAACCCTAACCGCTCGATCTACTCCAAGCACCTTAAGAGAGCTAGGCAGGATGTCCAATCTCTGTGACGAAGGCGTTACAAGATTGGGTGGGGGAGAATGTCACGAACCTAAAGAGGAGTCTTGAATCCCACATTGAATATAAAAGGAAGGTCACTGGGGTATATAAGGGTTTACACCACATTTACCTTGTGAGACACCTTTTGTAGGATAAAACAGTGAGGTCAAAGGGGGTCAGAGCGGATAATACCTCACAAAGGTATGAACCGTGACAGGCAGGTTGATTTGAGACGTCGGATGAGTGTATGCCAGGGTCTTAGAGCCTCACAAGCCCGGACCTTAAGTCTCGACACGTGACATTAGCCGTTTTCATGTCTTGAGCCAAGCTTTCTATCAGTTGAGCCGAGTTGATAAAAAATTAGGTTTTTTTTAAATTTCTTTTTAAATATTTATTTATTTATTGTTATTAACTTACAAATAATATTAAAAAAAATTACAAAAATTAAGTTTTTTTAATTTTTTTTAACTTTTTATTTATTTATTTAAAATTTGTTATTAACTTACAAATAATATTAAAAAAATAATTTAGAAAATAAAAAATCCTTTACCACTATATTGGCAGGTTTTGAACAAAAATGCTTTTGAAAATAAAAAAATCTTATCAATATATTAGAGGGTTTTAAAGTTTTAAAAATAATTTTTGAAGGTTTTGAAATAAAAATAAAAGCAAATTTGGAAAGAATAAAAACATAATCAATATATTGGAGGGTATTATAACTTAAAAATGAATTTGGAAGAATAAATTGACTTTGACAAATAACTTTACTAATATATTGAAATGTTTTTTTATTTTGAAAGTCTAAAATAAATTCTACTACATATTAAAAAATTTTATTGATTTAAAAATTAATACTTTGAAAAAAATAATATTTATAAATCCTAGCAACATAATGGAGAATTTTTTTTGGATAAAAATCTTATCCCTATATTAAAGATTTTTCGAATAATCAAATAATGTTGATGTACTTTATTTAGTTTTGTCTCATAAAAAATTAATTTTGAATCTCTCGATTATGAAATTATTAGAACATTATAAATAAGAATTTATATGTAAAATTCTAGATGAAAAATTCTTTTTAAATTTTATTGACATAAATTTTCATAGAATTTGATTTTTCATAAATAAAGTTTTTACAAAATATTAATGAATCTTATGGTGCCTTTTATTAACGTATTAGAATAATTTAAAAATAATTTTTAATATTAAAATAGTTAATAAAATTTTTAAAAAATTTTAAATAACACGAAATTAATTGATATTATTTTTTAGATAAATATTGTATAGATGTTATATTGTTATGTACATAATTATATTAATGAACCTTATTTGAAATCACAAATTAAAATCTATCCTTTTAATAAATTTGAATCAATTATGAGATATTTCTTAAAAAAAAAAAAAGAGACGCATTAAGTTAAATTGTTAAGTACACCTAAATTAAAAAGAGAATTTTGATGATAATTCTTAAAATTATGTTTAGCAGCCGAGTGCACGGGTTTATACACTACGATACTCTAAAAACGACAAATTATAGCCACATATTTTTTAATTATTTATTAGTTTACTCTAAATTTAGGATATTTATCAGTTTGTTGTCCGTCACTTTCATAAAAAAAAAGAAAAAAGAAAAATTATATCACATTTTTTTATTTTTTATTAGTTCACTGTAGGTTGATTGTGTCTAAAAGCTGAGTCATCGTATCGTTTGGTCTTCCAAGAATTATCTTGATAAAATTATTATTCTATATACTATTAGTAGACTTTACAATTAAATTAGATAATTGTTATGTGTTCATTTAATAATTTAGTTATTTATTAAATTTTGTAAATATGTTGGTAATATAATTTTTTACGAGAAGTATCTATTTATATCAATGTAAGTTTACATATTATTTAATTTTTAAATCAAAATGATTAAATGTAGGTATTATAAATTTATTTTAATAAAAAAGAACTATTACTTATATTGATGTAAGTAATTCTTTTTATTTTGTATGTTATCATTTAAACTTATATTTATACAAATATAAACAAAATTTATTAACATTTAATAATCATTTATCTTTCTTAGTTTTCCCTTGAAGTAAAATAAATCCGTCTCCTTCCTTGGATCTCTCTCTTTCTCCCAAGGTTAACGAGTACAAATGAAATACGGTAGGGTTGCTTTCTTTTGTATAATTCAAGATCAAGTGATTCAAATAAGAAATTTTGTCTTTGAGGCTTATAATCTTCAAACGTCTCTCAGTTTGATGTGGAAAAACAGTTTTCTTATCGACGAGTGGCTCTAATTGGCAATTGCTACTGCAACGCGGCGGGAAAAGTCTTCTCTTACTTTTCCACGATGGTAACATTTGGAATAATCCATCAAGACCGCAACGTTCCTGTACACTTTTCAAACATCTAGTACTTCAACATTTCCAGTAAAATGAAAAAGTAATTTTCATTGTCTTGACCATTTATGAGAGTTATGGCCCTTTGGCTTTTAAGGTTTCCATCTATAAATAAAGGGGAATACAAGCTTTCCTCTCTGCACAACGAACACTTAGACTTCATTGAGGAAAAAAAAAATGGCTGAGGGGGCGAGAGCTGCGGTAATGATCATGATGATGGCAATGGCTGCAGCAACCCTTGTATCGGTTGCATCTGCCATTCAAGGAACTGCTACGTTCTATACTCCTCCATATGTCCGTAAGTATATATCCCCAGTCTCTTTGCCTGCATAATTAAAGATATCGTAGTGACCTTTGTTTAGTGCCCATTCAAAAATTTGCATTCAACCAGTAGCAGATGCTATAATAATATTGCAAATTTGTTAAGCATTGTTTGCATTGGCAGCTTCTTCATGCAATGGATTTCAAAACGATGGAGTTATGATCGCGGCAGCGAGTGATGCTATATGGAACAACAGGGCAGCATGCAATAAAAGGTACAGTGTGAGGTGCACCGGAGCCACCAACCTTGGCGTGCCACAGCCTTGCCGGGGTGGCTCCATTGTCGTAACAGTTGTGGATTACTGTCCTCCAGGGTGCCAGGGAACCATTGACCTTTCTCAAGAGGCTTTTGCCATGATTGCTGACCCTAATGCAGGCAAAATCCAAATCGAGTACAATGAGTAAGTGGGAGAAATTTAGTTAAAATTTCTTAAATTGATCTAAATTTTAATCCATTAATATACAGAAGTAAAAAAAATAAGGTTTTTTTTTCTTTTTTTTTTTATAAAATTGCAGGGTATAATGGGGACATGAAGACAATGGAACTCCAAGCGACAGGCTGATGATAATTATATCTAAATAAACAGCCGATTTGTAATCTCTGTTGCCTAGCAAATCTCAAATAAGAATATCCAGGAGAATTATTCTGTTCTCGTAATTTAAAGTTAATTCAAACTAGTTAAAGCTAATCTCTTGACATTAATTTCAACCTAAGATTGAAGCATGGTATATACTGGTGATCCTCTAGACACAGTTAATTTATGTGAACCTTTGAATTGGAAAGGACTAGCCAATAAAATTAATCAAACTATTATCTAATTAAAAAAAAAAAGAAGGGAGGTAAAGGTTTCTCGCACCATTGTTCTGAACATTATTATTTATATCTATAATAACAATAGGGCAAGGAAAGCAATTGAAGTAATCCTTTTTATTGAAGAAGAAAGAAAGAAGAGATAGAATTTGGGACCTTAATTTGATAAAGAGAAATAAGGCGATAAACGTGATAGAGAAAATGAAGAGAGAGAAAAGACAATTCTTTTTTTTTTAATGAAATTAAGTGAACGAGTAAAAATTATAATTATAAATAATTAAATAAAATTTCATATACATAAAAAGAATCAAATCAATAACCAACAATTTAATAGACAATTAAAACAAAATTCACATACACAAAATAAAACTCAAATATGTGATAATGGACATTTAATATTTTTGTATTATAATATCCATTTGCTATAAGAGAATTAATTGGAATCCCCTCTCGTTTAGCAATCGCAAAAGCAGGCGCAAAAGTCTTTTTTGACGGCTATGTAACTTGTACCTAGTCGATTAAGCGTCGGACTTAGGTGCACACCAATTCAGTGGAAATTAATTAACAAATAAGTAAATATGTAATGACTTGATAAAGTACTTTGCTTGGCATGAGAAGACCTTTCTCGAGCTGCTTTTGCTAAGATTGTAAACCTTGATTCAGGCAAAATCAGAATTAATTACAGTCAGTATGCACCAAGATTGCTCTCTTTTTTTTCTTTCTTATATAAAATGTGCTAACGGTGAACGTGTGAAACATTATGACTTCGTGAATGCTTTTTAGTCTTCTGATTTGCAGGGTTTTCAGCGCAAAGGGATAGGCTGATCTGATTAAAGCTATATTTAAATAGCCAACATTCTCTATCAATTAATTAATAGAGTATTATATTTTTAATTATAATAATTTAAATTTAAATTTTGATAATCTCAAATATTTAAAAAAAAAAAACTATATCTAAATTTTGATTAAAGCTATATTTTTTCTCTCGAATAAAAAATTAAGAATAAAAAATAATCGGGATGTATTTTGTTAAGACAAGTTCATGGTATAGGTTGGTGTTGAGCTGTCCAACAAGTTTAAAAACTTGAAATCACAAGATCGAACATTGGTTAGAAGCAAAGATTGGAGATTTCTCCAACGTTTGTAGTCCAATGATCAAGTCAATACTTGGAAAGAGAGAGAAAGAGAAAAATCTTAAGAAGAGAAAAAAGGAACTGAATGCCCCTACTTGGGATGAGTAGGGCTATTTATACCTATAGGGTGAAAGTATTAGCCTAGGTGGTCCAAGCTTTGAAAGTCGGGTTTAAGACTAATAATACTAACCCGACCTGGCAAGTGGAAGTGCAATTGAAAGATGACAAGTCAACATACCCATGTGCCTTTAGTTGAAATATTGAAATAAACGAATTGATACAAATCCCTAGATTTTAGGTCGACTTGCCACGTTAGCTCGGGCTGGAATGAATAAAGTACTCTCGCATTGTTGATGAGTCACATTTTAAAAGAAAAAGTCTATTATGCATTTATAACCATAAAATCTTTAAAAGTTTGTCCTTTTATCAAATAGTCTGAGGTGTTAGATGATTGTCATAACGTCTAGATCCAGGGATCTATCGCTAGATATTAACTTTAGGGAGTCACCACCAATCTTTTTTTATCTAGGTACGATTGGCCACCTAAGGAATCTGTCCTTTTAGGGAACACCTAAGTTTAAGGGTCCCTAAAAGAATAGGTTCAGGTCTACTAACCAGAACAGAGTTCGGGAGTTCGGTTACGTGTGAGGAAGGTTATAGCACCCTCACAACGCCCATCAAAAGATAGTACCAGCTGAAATTCGTATTATCCAAAAGCCTTAAAATTTTATCAAGTAATTAATTATTGGAAATTTTTCTCAATTGACTCTAATACTTTTAGCAGAAAATTGAGAAAATTCCCTCACCTCAAGAGTATGCAAGAAAAACTACTGTTTCACTTGCAGAGGCTCCGTCGTCGGATTATTTAAAGAAAAAAACAAAATCAAAATTAAGATAGAAAAGGAAGGAAATAATGATTTTTTTGTAGGAAAAATTGATACTTTCAACTTTTCCCCAAAAATATTTTTGAAATTTCGATTTTCAAGGAAATTTATACTTTCAACTTTTCCTCAAAACCCTTTTTTTGAAAATTTATTTCTAAGGAAAATGATACTTTCAACTTTTCCCTAAAAATATTTTTGGAATTTATTCTTAAGGAAAATTGATACTTTCACTTTCCCAAAAATATTTTTTTTTTGAATTTATATCTGAGGAAAAATTGATACTTTCAACTTTTCCCCAAAAAGTATTTTTTTGGAATTTTATTTCTAAGGAAAATTGATACTTTCAACTTTTCCTTAAAAATATTTTTTTTTTTGAAATTTATTTATGAGGAAAATTGATATTTTCAACTTTTCCCCAAAAATATTTTTTGGAAATTTATTTCTAAGGAAAATTGATACTTTCAACTTTTCCCTAAAAATATTTTTTGGAAATTTATTTTTAAGGAAAATTGATACTTTCAACTTTTCCCTAAAAATATTTTTTTTTTGAAATTTATTTCTGAGAAAAATTGATATTTTCAACTTTTCCCCAAAAATATTTTTTGGAAATTTATTTCTAAGGAAAATTGATACTTTCAACTTTTCCCTAAAAATATATTTTTTTGAAATTTTTTATTCTTATTTAAAGAAAATAAAATAATAAAAAATAATAAAAATAAATAAAAAGAATATTACATAAACCTAATCTAATAAATAAAAAATAAAATAAACAAATAAACAAAGAAAAAAAATTCAAAGAAAGAAAGAAAAAAAAAAAAAAAAACTTGGAGCGGCTCGGATCGCGGCTCGGCTCGGCTCGGCTCAAGGAAGAGAAAACGGCTCGGGGGGAGCGGCTTGACGGCTTGGCTCGGCTCGGCTCGGAGGGGGCTAGCACGCGCAGGTCAGAAAGCGGGTCGACGCCCGGGTCGGGTCGGGTTCGGCAAAACGCGCGGATCCTCTGGGTTACTTAAGGCCAAAACGACGTCGTTTTGGGAGGGTATAAAAGGTAATCTCCTTCATTTTTTCGGTAGAACGCTCCTCCCTCTCTCTCTCTTCTTTCCTTTTCCTCTCCCTTCTCTCTAAAAACTGAAGAACACAGGTGCCGAATTTTGGAAAATTTCATCGGAATCTGGAAATTTCGCCGAAAGTTGGTCGAAAGATCGCCGGTTTCTGGGATTCTTCACCGAAAACTGGGCTGGTCACCGAAAACTTCAATGTTCGTCGGAATTGTTGCCGAAAAATTTAAATTTCGCCTGAATTTTCGTCGAAATCTGGAAATTTCCCAGAAATTTCCAGAAAAATTTTTCGCCAAAAATTCTCTAAAAATTTTTTCTCACTCCCAGAACACTCCTAAACTTTTCCTAGCTTCCTATACGCCTCCTTTTCTCTCAAATCAATAGCTTTGCTTACTGTTTTCTGTGTCCTTCATTCTGTTCCAGGAAGTGCTTTATATAGGGATTGATCAGGAGTTTCTGATCAATCCCAATTCCCCTTTGGACGGGAATTCATTCTTTGAATCCAGTCTGGACTCTTCTGATTGAATTCCCACTCCCAGTGGGATTCTTCAACTTTCAATCCTAGCCCTCCAAAATAAAAATCAAAATAAATAAAAAAAAACTAGATAATTAGAGAAGATAAATCAACAGATATTATAGGATAAATAAAATAATAATAATAAAAAATATATATCAGATATATAATTAGATAAGTAAAAATACAAAAATGAATAAAATAAAAAAGATAAAAAATATATATATATACATATTAGTAATAATACATAAATAATAAAATACACATAAATATTAACAAAAAATAAATAAATAAATATATACATATATTAATACATAATAATAATAATAAATAATACAATACATAAAATACAAAAGAAGAAGAAAAAAAAATACAAGATAAAATTGAATTGAGCTTACCCATTTGGGCCAGGCCCAATTGATCTGGGCCCGGACCCAATTGGGTGTCTACAATGATTGAAATGTCGATTTGGCTTATCTATTGACATCAGAGTCAAGCTAAGAGTTGAGCATGGATTTTTTAAGATTATAACTCTTTTGTAATGTAGTGACAAGGAGATAGTCTTCATTGTAGGTCCAATGTGGTTTTTACCAAATCTATTTGCTTAAGTGGCCTTGGTATTCTAACTTGAAGCTTCATTTTGTGCTGCATGTACAATATCATCGATGTGGCACTTGAAATAATTTTTTGAGTAAGTTGGCCATTGATTTATCTAAATCAACATTTATTAAAGATAAAGAAATTTATGCAAGATTTAAAATCTTGGATAGTTCTTTGAATTTTAACAGAAAAGCTGAATGGTTATCCTTAATTCATACAATGAGACGTGGCTTAATTAGGACCACTTATCCGATTTGGGCTTTGCCTATGTAAAGCATGCTTAAGACCTTTATTTCTTCACACTTCTAGCATTTTCATTACCTTTCTAGTCTTGTGTTGATATGTTTTTACGCTAATCTTGCAAAGCTTTTTCATTTTTCTTTGTTCCATCTTTTCATTACCTTTGATTTCCTTGATATGTCTCTTAACTTTTAAT